TTAGAGAGAGAGTGGGTTTTCGGCCAGAAAAAGTATAAATGAGGGTAGGAGCACATATATATAGGTCGGGTTCATGGTCGGTGGTGGGTCCCGGCCGTGAACATAAATCAGACCGGATTTTGTTGACTCTCGAGGAAAACTCGGGTTTTCGCGTGATTTTGGTTCCAACTCTTATAAAAACGATTTTCTAAACCATAAGAATTTAACGGAACAAATAAAATTAAAAATTTATTTAACAGAATCAAGCTAATGTTAACGGAAAAATGTGTTGGTTGTCACAACACCTGATTTATTGGGTTGATTTTTTGGAATATATTAAAAAAAAACTAGTTAAATAAAATAATTTAGAATGACATGAGCTACAAAATTATTCAAGATAATAGTGTAAATGGTAGTTGGAGGAGTAAAAGGTTGAAATTGTAACATTTGAAAGGTAAGAACTGAAAGTGTCTGTAACAACTCGAAAATTTGAGTATTTGATTATACTCTATACGACATATAGAATCGGTTATGTCATACACAATTAAAGTAAGTTGCTATTTTCTAGGGAAGTTGTTTTACTTTAAAAACGAAATGGGTGATGCAAGGGGGAACGCGACGTGCCACGTATATATGGACATGACACTTCTAGTCTAAAGGAGTCAACGAAAGTCAAAAGACAAAAGCGGTGTGTATATTTGTAAGATGCAACATGTCAACTTGTATGGGTCATTGACATATGTAGCCAAAATACGACACGTGGCGAGTGAGTATGATATGTGGCAAAAGAAAATAACATGTTAGAGATGTAACGTCCTGATTTTCAAAGAAAGTTTTTTATTTTTATTTATTTAAATATAAGTCTTACACATTATATTATAAATCGGTGTCACAATTTTAATTATAAAAGAGTGTTTAAACGGAAGTCATTTAAAACATTATTGATGTCCTCGATGTAGTCATGCGTGAGCCTTTCTCCGATCCGATAAACAACCTAAAAAGTAGTTATTCAACAACTGTAAGCCGATGTTTAGTGAATTCCCTCAAAATACCACATACCACAACATATATACAATACATACACATATTGGCCTTCAACTTATAGTTGGTCCGCACCTTGGCCTTCAGCATATGGTTCACCCTATATAGCCTTCAGCATGTGGTTGGTCCGCTTCCTCTTGGCCTTTAACATAAAGCTAGTCCGCCCAAGTCTATTGGCCTTCATCACAAAGCTGGTATGCCCTCAACTACATATATACATATCAACATATAGCAACAGTTCACATAAGCAAGCAACTAAATATCCTAGTCTAGTTGTCTAAGTGCATACTATAAGGCAGCTATATCCTAACATACAGAGAATACATATTATAGTATACAATATAATGAAAAGAGCTTACCTTGATGGTTTTTCAGATGGTTAACAGATATCCAGGTAATCCAAATGGTGAGTACGCGTCTAACAAGTATCAACCTATAATACTAGAGTTTATTAATCCCTAGGGCAATCTAGTAACGTAGGCTAGACCCATCACTAATCCTAATGGATATCGATAGTTCTATCAAGTAAGGATCAACTGTAACACCTGGTTCCCGGTACGTATTTTAAATATAAGTATTTGCATTTTTACACTAGGACTCGACGAGTTGGAGGCCCAACTCGTCGAGTAGACTGGATTATGGACGCATGTTTTAAGTAACCTACTCGACGAGTCGGGAGCCCGACTCGACGAGTAGGACTGCCTGGATGAAACCCTAATATTTAGGGTTTGCACCCTATTTAAACACATTATCTTGTCCCACTTCAGCCTCCATTGTCTCTCACAGTCCAGAAAAGCCCTAACTCGAAACCCTAAAGCATTTGGAGTGTTCTTGAGCCATTTTTGTGTGTTTGTGGTTGTTTGAAGCTTGAAGAAAGAAGTGGAAGTTTGGTGGTTTTAGAAGGAGCAAGTAGATCCAGATATTTTGCTTCATTTCCAGCTCATTCAAGGTAAAAAGCTTCAACCTTGACCATTTATCTCTTAGATCTCTAGTTAGGACAAGTTTCTACATTTTCTAAGTTTTACTAGAGCCATTTTCGGGATTTTGTGGTTCTAAGGGGGTATGACTTCAGATCTGGAACCATTGAGGGTTCCCATGGCATAAAGGTGCCAACTTTATGGCCATGGGAGTCCCATGCATCATATAAACCTCATTTTAGAGCCTTTTTAGCCAAAAACCCCATGCATGAACGTCAAGTCCGTAGCTTTACGTGCAATATGGACCCTAGGAGATCAGATCTATGTTTTGGATGCTTTAAGACCATCTGAAATCGACTGAATAGTTTTGGACATAGAGGGACTCGGCGAGTCGCTTATGCGACTCGGCGAGTCAGGTCGCTTTTTCCCCAAAACCCTTCTGATATTGAGTAGTGTGTTGAGTTGGAAGAAGACTCAGCCAACTGGGTTCATTATGGATCTGAAGATCAACATACTCGACGAGTTCAAAGATGAACTCGGCGAGTTCAAGGCAATATCCCAGCCATATGAAGATGAACTCGGCGAGTTCAAGGATAAACTCGGCGAGTCAGGACTGAACACCTTATAACTGATGAAGATGAACTCGACGAGTTCGAGGATGAACTCAGCGAGTCAAGACTGAACACCTGAGATCAGATGAAGATGAACTCGACGAGTTTAGTGATGAACTCGACGAGTCAATTGTAGAAGGTCCTAACTTTGTTCAAAAGAGAACTCGGCGAGCCCTTGTAAGGCTCGGCGAGTAGGGTCGAAGTCTTGGCGTTTTCATGATTCAGAACTCGACGAGTTATGGGGCCAACTCGGCGAGTCGAGTCAACTGGATGTTGACCTTGAGTTGACTTTGACCAAGGTGTTGACCTTGACTTTGACTTTGACCAGGAAATGGTAATTAAGGAATATTGTTATGTGTAGGATCTGAGAGGGGTTGATTTCGGCAGCAAGGACAGTTCAGACACGTTACGACATTGAGGTGAGTTACCTTCCAATATAAGTGGGTCTACAGCCACAATGTCGGCCCACTAGTAGGAGATGGTTGTTAGATAACTGTCTTTGTGATAATTATCTGGTATGTTATGTTTTATGTGATAGTATGCTATGATCTTATGTGATATGTGATAGGAGGGGTAGGATAGACCCTAGTACCGGTCGATAGGACCTAAGGGGCATGCCAGCACCCAGACAAGCTAGGCAATATATGATTTATATGTTGATGCACTAGGATGCTATGCGGTAGAGTAGGGGGTCAAATAGTCCTCGATACCGGTCGAAAGGACCGAAGGGGTAGGCCAGCACCCTGATATGCTAGGCGAGGTACCGATCGACAGGGACGGAGGGGTAGGCCAGCACCCTGGTATGCTAGGCAAGTTACCGGTCGACATGACCGAAGGGGTAGACCAGCACCCTGATATGCTAGGCAAGTTACCGGTTGAAAGAGACAGAAGGGGGTAGTACCCAAATATGTTAGATTGTATGTGTTATGTATGGTATGCGGTATGATGGGGGAACTCACTAAGCTTCGTGCTTACGGTTTACAGTTTTGTTTTAAGGTACCTCTTCATCGAAGGGGAAGGAGCGGACACGGTAGCAACGCATCGCACACATACCCGATTTCTGCACTATGATGTCCTTGGGATTGTACTATGACATTATCATTATTCCATGACATGTGTTTATGACATTTGGCTTATGGGTTATGAGTTTGATATGATATCGATGTTGTTTGTCAGTAAATGGTTTTATAAATTACTTAATTAAAAACAAAATTTTTGGTCTTGAAAATTGGGATGTTACATCAGCAATGCAGGACAGTTGGGAGGCAGGATCATTTCAACATATAGCTTTTCTGAAATCCAACAACCAAACCAACATGGCCATTTTAGACACTTCTTCCGTAAGTAGATTAATTAGTATTATTATTGGGATTACTAACAAATCTTTATTTAAGTATTCATAAAAACGACTATGAATATAAATACAAGTTACACTTAAAGCATAGTAAGTGTAGCCTAATTGTAATTTATAAAGAGTTTCTAGTGGTGCTCAATTGCCACGTCATGAGGTTATAAGGCTCACGTTGTGAGCTTACTGCTTTCATAATTCATCGGGAATTTCCTTATAATCACGTCGTGGTGTTCAATTGCCACATCGTGGGTAGTGTTTTGATTGGTTCTTCTTCCTTTTAAGCTCCATTAAGCTCCGGTTCAGCTCCAGTCCTTCGAAGTTCCAATATTTATCATTTCTGATCCTTTTTCCTCAAGAATGCCCTATTTGACTGCAAAATGTAATTTTAACTCAATAAGTATCAAATATATTTGCAATTAACCATAATATAACTTAAAATGTATTAAAATAATGCATAAATATATGTATAAGTATGGAAATATCAAAATATCTCACACTTGTCTTTTGTTTGCCCTCAAGCAAAACTAATATTCTAAGTTAAACCAACGTCACATAAGACAATCCATTTAGAAGTCTCATTTAGTGTGACATGAAACCATACTTTTGTGGTAATTGCTGACATATCGCCTACATGATAGTAAAAAGAATGCATCACTCCCTCTGGCCCTATTATTTTGCGTAGGAAAGACTTGTTTTACATCCTATGTAACCCAAACTAGGTGTAAAACCCGTGTATTACACACGTTGAACAGTTGATTAAAAAAATAAAATATTAAAATGTAAATAATAAATATTATTTAAAACAAAATTTTGAAATAAGGAATGAAAAAATATATTAATTGCAATTTAGTATAATATTTATTACATTTGATACTTTACATATATAAATATAAGTATTATGTGGCCTTTTAATTTTAAAAATTGAAAAAAAAACTATAAATTGATACGTGAATATTATTTATTGAAAAAATATCACAAAATGACAAGTATCAAAACTCATCAGAGATTGACATGCGGCAAAATTATCTTATTTTATTATTTACTATTATTTATAATAAATAATAATAGTAGATTACCACGACACCGCAAGCACAAAGGCGGGAAAAGAGAGGATTTGGGTCTAAAACCCCCAAAAGGTTTGATCTTTGAATAGAGAGCCAGTAAAATAGTCGGATTCAACTCCCCGACCGGAAAATGGCGGCTGGAGGCGGCGGAGGGAGGGCAATCAGGGTGCTGAATGTAGCAGAGAAACCGTCGGTGGCAAAGACGGTATCAGGAATATTATCGAGGGGCCAGGGGTTAAGAACGCGAGAGGGGAGGTCAAGGTACAACAAAGTGTTCGAGTTCAATTACACGATTCAAGGACAGCCTTGTCAGATGATGTTCACATCGGTCACTGGACATCTAATGGAAATAGAGTTTGAAAGCCGCTATCGGAAGTGGAACTCTTGCGACCCCGTCGATCTATTTCAAGCACCCATCCGCAAACATGTCCCCGAGGTCAGTACGCTACGTATTGTTCTTATATTCATCATCTGATCTCCTGTTTGTTCAAAAACAAGACCTACATTTTGACCTTGAAACTTCAATTGGATTAATTTCCTTTCAACTTAAATGCTTTATGGATTCTCTACTTGTTTTGGTTATTTCGTTCTCAATTTTGAACTTGTTTTGTTTGGTGTTCATCCTCTGAAACCATTATCTTCTTGTGAATTTGCTTATGTTATGTAATCAAGGACAAATTAGACATCAAAAAGACCTTGGAGGAGGAAGCGAGAAAATGTCAATGGCTTGTATTGTGGCTTGATTGTGATAGAGAAGGAGAAAACATTGCATTTGAAGTCGTGGAAGTTTGCTCAAATGCAAATTCTCATCTCGATATATGGAGGGCTCGTTTCTCTTCATTAATCGATAGGTCTAAAATCTAAAACTCAAATCCCCCTTTCAACACTTTATTTCCTCTCTTCAAAACCATTTAATTTACAAATTTCAATTTTTCTTCAACAGGGAAATCCACCAATCTGCACAAAATCTTGTACGCCCTAATCAGTTATTTTCAGATGCAGTTGATGTTAGGCAAGTGAGTGTTCCTCAAAACATATTTCAGAATCCATGAATTTTATAATTGAGTTATCATACCAATTTGGAATCATTTTCAGGAAATAGATCTTCGAATTGGTGCTTCATTTACAAGATTTCAAACAATGTTATTGAAAGATGCATTTGCTTTTAACTTTTCTACAGATGGCAGAAGCCTTGTTCTAAGCTATGGTCCTTGTCAGGTATTCTTTACACCATTTTGATGCAAAAAATGATGTAAGGGTATTTTAGGAATTAAATAATTATACATCTATTGTAGTTTCCCACATTGGGATTTGTTGTGGAAAGATATTGGGAGATACAAGCACATGAACCTGAAGAATTTTGGAAGATTCAGTGCACTCATACAGCTGATGAAGGCACTTCTACTTTTAATTGGATGTAAACTTTCTACCATTTGTTTATGTTTTGTTATAAATTTCTTAAATGTTAGTGATTTAACTTTTTATTTTTATTTATTTATTTTTAAATTTCAGGCGTGGGCATTTGTTTGATTACACATGTGCAGTATTACTTTATGAAATGTGTCTTCAAGAACCCATTGCAACTGTAAGTGTTAAAAAGCAGTAATTTTTTTTCTGAATTTGTAATGAGTTCATAGGAACTATAAAATATAAATAATTATTTTTATTTTTATTTTTCAGGTGACAAAAGTTAGGCAGCAGGAGAGACTAAAATACCCTCCACATCCTTTGAACACTATTGAGCTAGAGAAACGAGCTTCACGTTATTTCAGGATGAGTTCTGAACAAACCATGAAGGTTAGTTTTGTAATTTATAATACGGGTAAATTACAAAAATGGTCCCTGTGCATTCTGATTTATATTACATTTAGTCTAAAATCGAAACCTTTTCAGTTTTGGTTCTTATTTCAAGGTTTCATATCGATTTTGATCCTTATTTAAAGGTTCTAAGGACCAAAATTGATATAAAACCTCGAAATAAGGACCAAAAGTAAAGAATGTTTTGATTTTGGACTAAACACAGTAAAAGTCAAAAAATACAGGGACCATTTTAGTAAATTATGTAGAAAATCAGTTGTCCTTCCATCCATTCTTAACGTGTCCAAATACTGTATCAACTTTTGGAGAAAACTTAGAGTAAATTACAAAAAAGGTCCTTTTGCTTTCTGATTTTACTCTTTTCAGTCCAAAATTGAAACATTTTGGTCCACTTTAAGGTTTCATATTGATTTTGGTCATATAAATTTTTTTCCTTATTTCAAGATTTCCATGGACCAAAACCGTTACAAAACCTTGAAACAAGGACCAAAACTAAAAAAATATTCCAATTTCGGACTAAACTCTTTAGAAACAGAAACCACAAGGACCATTTTCGTAAATCACTCAAAAAACTTAATCACACTTCTCCCTTTCATTTCCTTCCATTACATTCAATTCTTCAATCAACATTTCATTTCATAAATTTACAAACTCATACTTCATTTTTTTTTTCTTTTTTCTTTTTCTTTTTTTGTAGATTGCAGAAGACCTTTACCAATCTGGTTTCATAAGCTACCCTCGTACAGAAACCGATTCCTTTTCATCAAGAACCGATTTACATGTAAGCATCTTTTCCCCTAAATAAATTTCTTATTTTTTTACTTTTCCATATCAAGATTCAAGGGTAGTTTAGTAATTTCACATTACTTAAAGATACTTGTACAAGAACAACAAGAGCATCCAGTGTGGGGCCCATATGCCAAAAGGTTATTAGATCCTTCATCAGGACTCTGGAAAAATCCAACCAATGGTGGACATGATGACAAAGCACATCCTCCCATTCACCCTACAAAATACTCATCTGGTGAATCTGGTTGGAGTGAGGATCATCGTGTAAGTATAATATTTATTATATATATATATATATATAGTAATGAAACATCACAAGGGTAATTTAGTAAATTCACATTACTTTAAAAATCTTTGATATAGAAACTGTATGAGCTGGTTGTTAGACATTATTTGGCATGTGTATCTCAACCTGCTGTTGGAGCTGAAACCACAGTAGAGATTGATATTGCTGGAGAGATGTTTTCAGCATTGGGGAGGACAATAGTTGCTGTGAGTTTTATTTTTTTATTTTTTATTTATTTTTTATTAAATTTAGCTTTTTATGTAATCTGGTAAAGGCTTTTGAGTAAATTACACGAATGGTCCCTATGATTTAGGGTAATTTGCAAGTTTGGTCCCTAACTTATTTTTTTAACTCGGAAGGTCCCTACTGTTTGTTTTTGTTACGTGTTTAGTCCTTGTCTTACCTAAAAAGACTATTTTGCCCTTGATTTTTTAATTTATTTAAATAAACACACCCCCAACCCCAACCCCACCCCCTCACCTTACCTTACCTACCCCACCATTTTTCCATATTTAAATAATAGTCTTTTTAGGTAAGACAGGGACCAAGCGCGTAACAAAAACAAACAGTAGGGACCTTTCGAGTTAAAAAAATAAGTTAGGGACCAAGCGTGCAAATTACCCCAAACCATAGGGACCATTTGTGTAATTTACTCAAGGCTTTTTAATGTTGAGTGTTGAAACATTGTGCAGAAAAATTATTTGGAAGTTTACAGATTTGAAACATGGGGTGGATCACTTATCCCAAATTACACATTTGGACAGCAGGTTTGTGTTTTGACAAAATGAATAATTTGGAATTGAGTAAATTACATTTTTGGTCCCTGAGAGTTTCTGATTTTTGCAATTTTGGTCCGAAAAAGTGTTTATCTTTCTATATTGGTTTCAAAAAGTTTTATCTTGCAGTTTTGGTCCCAAAAAGTATGGGAAATCTACAGAAAAGTCCCAAACATTTGGGAAAAGTTTCAATAAAGTCCTAAAAGCTTTTTTTGAACAGAAAAGTCCCGATTATTTAACATTTTGCCCAAATTAACAAAAAATTTCTTTTTTATATTTGAACAACAAATGACAGATTATATGATTTTCTCAAAATAATGGGACTTTTTTGTTCAAAATATTTTTTAGGACATTTTTGGAACTTTTCCCAAAAGTTTGGGATTTTCTGTAGATTTCCCCAAAAAGCATATATCTTTCAATTATGGTCTCAAAAGTTTTCTCTTGTAGTTTTGGTTCTTATTTGAGGCCCTTGTAACATTTTTGGTCCCTGTTTCAAATAAAATTACTATTTTTGGTCCAAAGTATACCTGATTTTTGCAATTTTGGTCTCAAAAGGTTGTCTTGCAATATTTGTTTCAAAAAGTTTTATCTTGCAATTTTGGTCCCAAAAAGTATTTATCTTTCAATTATGGTCCCAAAAAGTTTTCTCTTGCAATTTTGGTCCTTATTTGAGGTCCATGTAACATTTTTGGTCCCTGTTCCAAGAAAAATTACTATTTTTGGTCTCGAGTATATCTGACTTTTGCAATTTTGACCCCAAAAATATAGTATTTTTATTTAGAACATGACTAAAACTTCAAATAAACACCAAATTTGCAAGAGCAAACTTTTTAAGACCAAAGTTTATCAGTCAGGGGCCAAAAATGTAATTTTACTGTTATTTTGGGTTTCAAATAACTTGATTAAAATATTACAGTTCACTCCAACATCATTGACTCTTGAGTCAGGGATTACTAGACCACCTCCCCTCTTAAGTGAAGCTGATCTTTTAGATTGTATGGATAAGGTAAGCCTCTGTATTTAAACATCAAATAATACAATATTATTTTTCAAAATTCAAATAATAAAAAAACTTTATTTATTTATTTGTTTTTTTTGTCTTTTTTAGGCTGGAATTGGCACAGATGCAACAATGCATGATCACATTAAAAAGCTAACTGATCGGTTTTATGCTACTAAAGAATCACAACATTTCAAGCCAACTAATCTTGTATTTCATTTTCCTCTATATCCAATATTATAAATAATATAAATTTTTTCTTTTACTTTCTTTATTCTATTTATTTATTTTTGAATTTTGATTGTGAATTTGGATGTGATTACAGGGTGAGGCATTAGTTATGGGATATGATGATATGGGGTGAGTAAGTCTAATAAGACATATACTTGATTACCTTTTTGTTTAATGTTATTTCAAATTTATGTTTTTTATTTTAAAAAATATAATTATATGTTTTTTTTTTTAAGGTATGAGCTATGGAAACCATATCTTAGGAGTATGATGGAAATGGATATGAAAGCAGTTAGTGAAGGAAACAAGAGAAAAAATGATGTTCTTGCTACTTGTTTGCAGCAGATGAAGGATTGCTTTTTAGATGTATGTTGACACTAACTTTTTTTTTATACCTATTTTACCCTTTTTACTTTTTTCCTCTCAACTCCTATCACGTCAAAAGCGATTAAATATTGTTAATCATGATATGAACATTGTGAAATTTTGTTTTTTTGAAACGTAAGGGTAAAATCGTAATTTAGTTTCATTTCAAAAAAGAAACATACTTCTTTACCTATTTTGCCCTTTTTACTTTTTTCCTCTCAACTCCTATCATATCAAAATCGATTAATATTGTTGATATTGATATGAATATTGGGAAATTTTGTTTTTTGAAATGTAAGGGTAAAATGGTAATTTAGTCTCGTTCAAAGGGTTTTCATTTCAAAAAAGAAACATACTTCTTTACCTATTTTACCCTTTTTACTTTTTTCCTCTCAACTCCTATCACATCAAAATCGATTACATATTGTTAATCATGATATGAATATTGTGAAATTTTGTTTTTCGAAACATAAGGGTAAAATGGTAATTTAGTCTCGTTCAAAAAAGAAATATACCTTACGTATACTCATCGAATTATGTAACTTTTTTGCATTTTGATGTGTTGACTAGTTGACTTTTTGAAACGATTTAATTTTTCAGGCAAGGTTAAATAAAGTAAAACTCTTTGAAGCCTTGGAGATATTCTTTGACAGGTTTGTGACTTTATTCATATGTTTTAGACTTTTATCATGCAAATAAAGTTGGTTTTTTACGTTTTTACCCTTCTATATCTAGAACAAATAATGCTGGAGGAACAGGGCAACAGAGTTTTGGAGAAAAAATCCGGAAATGTGATGTTTGTCAAGATTCAGATATGGTTCTTAGAAAGAAACCGGTATTTATTTATTTATTATTATTATTATTATTTTTTTTATAAAATGTCAATTTAATAAATTATCTATTTTACTTACCTTACAGGATGGAAAGTACATGGTTGGTTGCTTGGGTTTTCCACAGGCGAGTGTTATTTTGGGTCTTTAATAAAAATAAATTTTTTTTGAAATCATTTTATTTAATAAATTTGTTTTATATTTATTAATTTAATGATTTAATCCTACTCGTGCAGTGTAGAAATGTGATCTGGCTTCCTGGATCCTTATCAGAAGCAACTGTCACCACAACTGTTTGCAATACATGCACTCCAGGTTATTATTTTCTTGATGAAATGTAAGGGTAAAATGGTCATTTTGTCTTTTATTGTGGCGATGTAATATTTGTTTTTTACAGGACCTATTTTGAAGATTCAGTTTACATTTCGAAGGCTTGAAATACCACCAAATTTCAATGTCAATCATTTAGGTATTCTGTTTAGTTTTAATATTTAATATGATAAAATTATAAAATGGTTTTGAAGATTAAAAAAAAGAAATCTGCAAATTTATTTATAATATTAATAATATTTAGGTTGTGTTGGTGGGTGTGATGATATTCTGAGAGAGCTTATGGAAATATCTGGAACTGGACATCGAAATCCTTCAAGCATACCAGGTATTATGTAGTCGATTCCAAGTGTAAAATGACCATTTTACCCTTGTATTAAAAAAATGAGAAAACCTTTTTCAATTGCAGAAAAATTGTGATGGTAACAGTAAATCAATAATAATACTTTTGATCTAATAAAATTGACAAGTCATAGGGGTAATTACGTCATTTTACATATTCGAGGGTAAATTCGTCCTTTTACACATTTCAGATGACTTATTAGCTGGATGACCTAACTACCAAAATTTGTGATGAGTGGCTTAAGCAATAACTTGTTAAACTGAAAATTAGGCTGACCTAATTATACAATATCCCTTAATTGATTATTATTATTATTATTATATTATTATTAATTAATTTCTGTAATGATTAGTAATTAAGTTATAGTGGTGATTTAATTCATATTAACATTTCATAATAATATTTATAATTATTATTATCATTCAGTGGGCCCCTACCATGTAGCTTTCTGAATATTTTATAACATTATTGACTATTTTCAGTGGTAGCTTCTTTATTTAATTAAATGATTTGGTAATTTAAGATATTTAAAATTTGTGAGTTACTTTTCTTCATAAATTAAATGATATTATTAATGTTATAAATATCCTATATGCTTTTCAATTACACACAAGGTTACACCTGTTGAATGGGACCCACTGAATCATGTTGTTATTATACAGTATGCACCTTAGGAGATGTTTGGTTTTCAATTTCATCTTCCTTATTTTATTGAAAAGACCAAAATACCCTTGTTATATGTATTGAACTAAATAAATAAATAATTTCAACACTGCATATTTACTAAACTTTTTGTCATTTTTCGTTTCAGCTAGAGGAAGAGGAGCCACTAACACTACCACTACGCCTTCTCATACAACTACTCCAAATAATTTTAATAATAATAATAATAATAATAATAATAATAATTTTAATAATAATAATAATGATAATAATAATAATAATAATCAGCAGAGTAGTTGCAGTTTTTGTCATCAAACAGGACATTCTTCAAGTGATTGTTATTCACTCACTTCTCAATCGCGTAGTTCAAGATCTCAAAGACTCAACAACTCAAATAATGGTATTCATTTCTTGCATCTTTTTATTTTTTTTCCAATATGGAGGGCATTTTCGTCTTTTGCATAGACAAGAGATCAAGACACCACCTCCTTTCAACCCTAAAAAAGGATTTACATTTACCTCTTTGGGATTTTTCTTTTGGTGATAATTAGCACACTATCTTATCTCTCTTGAGTTTTGGGATAAAAAGGGTAAAATGGTAATTTGGCAATGCAGGAGATACACCGGTTCCTTGTATTATTTGTGGTGCACCTTGTGTTCTGAGAACTGCCAACACAGAAGCTAACAGGGGAAGAAAGTTTTACACTTGTCAAACACAGGGTTGCAAGTCTTTTATGTAAGCTAATTTTCTCTCCATAAAATCATTTTCAAAAATAAATATATATATTTTTTTGCTTAATTGGAAAAAATTAAAGTAAGATAGAGATACTATTGTAAACAAATAAACAAGAGCAATTTTGTAAGCCTCATTTTTCTAACTTTATTTAATAAGGAGTAAATTACACGAATGGTCCCTATGGTTTGGGATAATTTGCACGTTTGGTCCCTAATTTATTTTTTAACTCGGAAGGTCCCTACTATTTGTTTTTGTTACGCGTTTGGTCCCTACTGTTTGTTTTTGTTACACGTTTGGTCCCTGTCTTACCTAAAAAAAACTATTATTTAAATAGAGAAAATGGTGGGGTAGGTAAGGTAAAGCGAGAGGGTGGGGTTAGGGATGTGTTTATTTAAATAAATTAAAAAATCAAGGGCAAAATAGTCTTTTTAGGTAAGACAGAGAAGCGCGTAACAAAAACAAACAGTAGGGACCTTCCGAGCTAAAAAAATAAGTTAGGGACCGAACGCGCAAATTATCCTAAACCATAGGGACCATTTGTGTAATTTACTCTTTAATAAGTCATTTTTTCTGTATTAAGTAAATTAAAACACTCTGATATATACAACTTACCAGATTAAGTAATTATTACAGGTGTTGGGAGGATAGTGTCCCCACTACAAGAGCTACAACCACCGCTAGTCGGGGTGGCCGTGGCGGAGGTGGTGGTGGTGGTGGTGGTGTTGGTGGGAGATTTGTGTCGGCCATTGGTGAACCTGTTTCCGGGAGAAGTTGTTTTATTTGTGGTGATCCGTCACATTTTGCAAATGTTTGTCCAAATCGTGGTATGCGAAATTAAAATATTATTTTATTTTAACTTTATTTGATGTTTTGGTCAATTGGTCAACGGAAATCTTCCATGTGTTCTTGATGGAAATCATACATTTTGGATATGAGATTTACAAATTGTGAAAATGATTAATGCATGGTAGTAATTTAGTTTATTAATACTTGTGTTGTGTTTGATATTCAAGATGTTGGATGTATTTGATAACATTGTGTGTGAAAAATTTATGAGAAACACGTTACTTGTAAATATAAACAGAGAGATCATAATTAGCAAAAAGGAAAGGAAATATTTTAAAGATTAAATAAAAATTGGTATTAGAAATGATAATTTTGTTTTAACACATTAATGTGTATAGAGATTTATAATGGGCAATGTTGATACCATTGTTTTGTTTTTATTCCAATTTTAGTAATAAAGTAGTTTAAAATTTCAAGTTTTGTAATGAAATCAATAGTAATATAGATGTGTAATGGTCATCATAAT